CCCCCAGGCAGAGGAGATTTTCCTTGGGCTCCAGCCTAAAGCGCGGCGATGACGCCCTGCGGGGCAGGTCTGGGCAGCACGCCGGGAGCTTTCATGTCCCTAGTCCCGGCTTTGCAAGTGCAGGCCTGCGCCCGGCGGGGCTGCAGGAACGACTGCCTTGGTGTGCCTGCCTATCACCGCGCCCAGAGCGGGACTACGCAGTCCCGGGCTCCTGGGCCAACTTCAGGTACCCCGGCCCGTGCGCCTCCTCGCCCACTCCCAACACCCGCCTTGGGGCTAACAGCCCCACCCAACCCCCAGCTGCTTTCAGGGCTGCGCCCCAAAGGCGCAGCTACCTCCCACGAGGCCTCTCAATCTTGGTCCTGCTCCACCCACACCATCCAGCGCTGTGGCAAGAAGAATCTTGTTCAGTCATTGTTTTCACAATGTCATTCCTGAGTTCAAGAATCCTTTGGGCTCCTTATTAGAGATGGGGGCGCCCCCCCCAACCAGCCAGGTCCCTGGGGATACACCCTCCACATTCCACCTGGAATTTCCCACTCTTGCTAACCTCTCTCTTCTACAGCAATTTGGGCCCTTCCCCATCTCTGGCAGAACCTGGGAGTTCTACCTTTTACACCCTGTCCAGCAAGAGCACCTTCAAGGAACATAAAATGAGAAGATGCAGATGAAGCCATTAGCATAAAGCAAGCAACTGGTAAAAAGGAATCTTCCTTCATTCAGCAAATATTCAGTGAGAAGCATGCCATGAATACCACACCATAAGACAAGATGGCTCCTTCCTTCCTGGAGTTACAGCCTAACCAGAAGAGGTCAGTCTACCAATATGAAAAAATGTGAATTTCAGAAAGCCAAAAGTACTACACAGACAAGAAAATGATCTATGGATTGTATAAAGAGTGCTGGGAGATGTGTTTGTTTGTTTGTTTGTTTGTTTTAAGATTTATTTGTTTATTTTTTTAAAGATTTATTTATTTGTGCATACAGAACTGGGGTACAGGCCAGAGGCTCAGGGGCCGCGAGAGGCTTCACCAGAGACAGAGTGGGGAACAGAACAGGCAGATCTATGAAGTACACTGCTGAGGGGAGCATTGGGTGGGTCAGGAGAGGTCTGCTGTGCCATGTGGGTCAGCTCCCTGGTGGTGGGTTAGCTTCCTAGTGAGAAAAACTTTAACCCCTGGACCAGGAGGGAGACCCCCAGGGCTGGGAAAGATTTTCAACAAGACTGGACATAACTCTAGAGTTTACAAATTTCTTTGTGTCTCATCCCAGTTTCAGAGGAAGAAATAGGAAAGGGAAAATAGGAATTAGTTTAAATCTGGGGATTCATTGCTCATTATGGCAACCTCAGTCCATTCTGCCCTGCTGTGGGATAATCACCACTGCTGGGGGGGTGTGGTGCAGCGGGGTACTAGCCCCTTACCTTCAATTAACTCCACCTTGTACTGTTTAATTTGCAGGTCCAGGTGAGAAATGAACATGTAGGGATCCTTGTTTCAAATTATTTAGTTTCAAGCTGGGACAATAAGACATTTGCCCAGTGCAGGGCCAAGAAGCTGACTTGTACAACAGAACCCAGAAATGGGGTGCAAACCCCTGCCGCCACTAGAAGAAACATCCTTCTAGCCTTCCCTGGGTCTCCCTCCCCTTTTCCAGCTTAAAGCCCAGGACAGGTGATGGAAACAGCCCACAGGCTAAAAATATAGCCACGCAGGTCTAGGTCAGAGCATTTCATGGTTCAAGGTCTTTTGCTCAGTTATGTGGTCTTGGCCCTTGGCAAGAAACAGCCTGAGATATTCATTTCAGTGTTTCACATACCACGGTCAGTTACCAGCTTCATTTCATGGAAAGAGTGATGACATGGACTGTAGGTCTTGGGTCTCCATGTAGGTGTTGATGTCTGTCTGCCTGATTTGCCTACTTGTACTGTGCAATCAGACCCTTTGATTTCCAAGAGAGCAGAGGAATTTGCCAAGATGCTGGGAGACCTCAGTTGGTGGAGTTTGGGATGGTTTCTGCTCAAAGGGCAGTCATATTGGGGAGAGCTCTGGTTGACTATAATAATCTTAGCAAACATTTACTGAACTTTATTAAGCTCTAGACAACATTTCTCTTTACAGTCCATATAATTCTGCCTTTGAGGGAGATGCTTTTATCCATCCCCCCTAATATAGAGAGGTTAAATGGCTTGCTCAGAGGTCACAGTGGTAAAACTGGGCTTTGAACCCAGGCAGTGGGACTTAACCATCAGGCTGAATTGTTTCCTTGCTCTTTTGGTGCCTGGCAACAAGTGCTTACTGAGTAGCCCAGGGCTGCGATGAGGGTGAGGCAAGTGGAACCTTTACCTCAGGCACAAATGGAAGGGACTCTCCAAAACTCATAATTATTGATTAAATAATTAAGCATTATTTAATAAAATTTAAAATGTATCAATTTAACAAACAATGCTTTCAAAACCCTAAGTGAATGCAAAAAATTCACAATGAACAAAATATCAAAAATGTAAAAAAACATTTTCTTTACAATGAAGCTATAGCCCTGATTCCTTTGGCACAGGTTTGATCAGTCTCCTGTCATTTATTGCTCTTGCTTTCCCAGGTTTCTGTCCCAGGCAAGTAGTGATGAAAAAATTCAAAGTAGTAGTAGTTTGCTTTAGAGGGACGAAGGGAGAAAAACTATTTGGTCTTGAACTTGAAGAGTTAAAGGTGTTTACTGGGCATCCAGGTAATCACATCTGAGAACTAGAGTCAGATGAGAAAGAGCTTCAGGGTGGGCAGGCACCCTTATTTTATGTACTTGGCCTGTGATAGGTGGGTATTCGGCACATGTGGTCTAAATCACTGGTCCTCAGAGTTTGCATCATAGTTCAGGAATCTTTTCAAATTCTCTCATCCAAAAATTTTCTCTTCTTTCCTAAACTTTCTACATCACAAACCTCAGATATGTTCCCATATGGGTGGGGAAGTTTACTGCTTGGGTGTTAAAAGCAAAAACATCTGAGAAATTAAAAATAAGTAAATTCCACTAGAATGTTGGGGGTGAAGCATAGAAGAGGGAGATGAGAATTAATATAAATTGGTTCACCCTCCTCTTTATTAACTGATTCTCCAGGAGATTATAGGAGCTAAGAGAAATTAAAAAAGAAAGGTAGTAGGGCCTCCCTGGCGGCACAGGGGTTAAAGACTGCAGTATCAAGCTATCACCAGTCACTGCAAGCACAAGTTTGATCCATGGCCCGGCCACGGAACTGACTCAAATGGCACAGCAGACCTCTCCTGCCTCACCCGCTGCTCCCCTAGCAGTGTGTTTCAGTAGATCTGCCTGTCTGCTCCCTACGCTCTCTGGTGAATCCTCTGATCTCCCTGCACCTCTGGCTTACACCCCAGTTTTTGTATTCATAAATAAATCAATCTTTAAAAATAAAAAGAACTATTATAAAATAGAAAAAAAAACAAAAAAAAGAAAGATAGTATTAAAGAAAGAAAAAAAGAAAGATTATAGAAGCTAAAAATACAGTGAGGAGAGCTTGGCTAAGCATCAAAGAAGGGCAGATGCGTTTCCAAATAGAAGCCACGTTAGGTATGTCAGGAAGTGCAGTTCCAAACGATGAACAAATGATGGGCGGGAAGCAAAGGCTAGTTAGACTGAACTCAGCAGAATAAAAAAAGTTTCATTAGAGAATGAAACTGAGGAACAGGCTTTTTAGCAACATGGAGTCCTGCTGCCTCAACCCAAGTTCTTTGTGTGTGTGTGTGTGTGTGTGTGTTTAAGATTTATTTATTTATGCATACAAGGGGTACAGGCCAGAGGTGCAGGGGTGGTGAGAGGATTCACCAGAGACAAGAGTGGGGAGTGGAACAAGCAGATTGACTGAAATACACTGCTAGAGGAGCAGTGGGAGAGACAGGAGAGGTCTGCTGTGTCATGTGGGTCACCTCCCTGGTTGGGGATCGAATTTGTGCTGCAGTGGCTGTGGACAGTCTCATAGCGCTGCACTTTAACCCTTTGTGCCACCAAGAAGGGCCCAATACAAGTTCTTTGAACCATGTGTCTGTTTCATGATGAAAACTCTTGCCAATGGTTTAGGACCCTAGGCAAAATAGTCTTTCTACTCCAAGTTATAATTCTGGACAACCTTTAATGGAACAATCTTTTTTAAAAATTATAATCACTTTCCTGAGGTTATCTTCTGGTACCTCCTTCCCTTTTCATCTAAGGAAGCATGGCTTATTCTGGGCAAGTCCCACCAGAGGGAAATATACTAGTTCAGTAATGACAGTGACTCTGACAAATGCTTAGTGATGAGGGATCTGGGGAAGAAATTTCATGATACCCAAGTCAGATCAGAATCATAGCTTGACCTCATTAGTTGGATAGATGCACCTGAAGGTCAAATGTCGGACCATATAACTCAGACCATGGGAAACAGAGTCTCGAGAAAGGGTGAGATGAGTGCATGGGCCACAATGACATTAATAAGAAAATTCTTTATTGAGTGTTCACTATGTGCCAGGAGCCATACCAAGTGCTTCACTTGCATTGTCCCATAATCCCAGGGTATGCGTGATCAATGTCCCCATTTTACAGCAGGAAAGTAAGAAGTTGGGACATGAACTTACTTGCCCATTGAGAGATGGATAGGGGATGTCAAATCCTGAAACCAAAGAAAGTCTCAAGACAAGGACTAGAACTGGGCCCAGGTAGGGTAGGTTGATGGGCTGACCAGATGAGAGGGGAAGCATCACAGTGAGAGCTCTGAGCAAGAGATGAGCCCAGCCTCAGCTGGCTATTAGCTATGGCACTTGAGATACAGTTTTTGAGCAATTTGTGCCTCAGTTTTTCTATTTGTAAAGTAGGGATGGCAACAAAAATAAAAGCCACAGTATTGTTAGTAGCATTTCATGAGCTGATGCTTGTAAAGGGCCCAGAATAGGAATAGTGCCTGATATAAAATAAGTATTCAATACGGATTTTATTGTCATAGGAGAAATAACACAGGCCTTTAGTTCTAAGGGATGTGTTTTCTGTTGAATTACACTTAAGACATAATTTTATTGAATTTGAATTGAAGTTTACATCAGCTTCCACCCATGTGTACAGCTGTGTTAGAAGATTTCAAATGATTTGCCTGAGCCAGAGCAGTGTCACTTGGTCATTGAACAAAAGGCCTAGGAAAGTAAAAGCAACCTATGAGGGTGTGGAAAGAGTAGATGGGGAAGAAGTGTGAAAGAAAAGAGCTACTCCTTGTATGCTTTTCTTGTAAGACATTTCCTTCTTTCCTTTATGCAGAGTAAAGTCAGATGGTAGCCCAAAAGCCTGGAGCTAGCTCTCTGGGATTCATGGGCTTTCAGAGGATGCTGGCCTGCCCAGTCTTCCTCCAGACGTTCGCAAACCCTTCCCAAAGACAAACCCTTTCCAACGCCCTGCTCTAAAACTGAGCCACCTCTCTGGAGGTGAGGCCAGGGCTCACTACTGAATGGGCCCCATTGTCCTCCGGAGCATCCAGATGCCTTCGGCCTGGAGGTGATTCTACTGAGGCATGTGGTGCGGTCTGCCTGCAGACTTTGATTCACTCCAGGGACAACACAAAAAATCAAAACAGGCAACACATGCAATTCCAAGAGCGCCTGCCAGAATCATACGCTCTTTTTCCATCATTTCACTCTCCTCCCCCTTGAAGGGTGCCTCCTTTGGCATTTTGCGTACTAAAACTCAAAACCACCAACAGGACGAGCACCTGATAAGGAGTGAAGCATTGCCCAAGAGTTCCCAGGAAGAGGCGTCTTTGTTCTTGTTTCAAGCCCTTGACACCACTAACAGCTCTAATTACTGCATTTGCCATGGGATGTAAAATAAAACCACATTCCAGAAATCATGTAGTCTCCTGGGGAGAGACACACAGGGAGAGGTGCCCAGGGCTGCAGGAACGTGTTCTTTCGTTTCTGGTCCCTAACCTTGGCAGCTATTCTGAGGATTTAACAGTAACTTCTTTATGTCTTTGGAGAAGGGCACTTTTGCACATGTAAGGATACATCCCACTACCTGTATCCACAAATCCGGTCTGCATTTTTTATTATGATGTGTGCAAAGCATGCTTTTTAAAAACATGAGGACCTTCAAAATTCACCCAACTCATTTTAGGGGAAATGAGAACTAGAGAAGTTCCTGAGGCTGTAAATTCATCAAATAGAACTTCTTCCAACATATTTTCGCTATAAAATCTGATGATGCAACACTCACCCACACCCACATCACAAACCAAAGTGACATCACAAATAGTAGAGATAATGGTACAAACTACATGCGAGACAAAATCTAAACTGTAATTTGCTCACACATGACTGAGGCAGAGAAAGACAGGTGACTACAAATATTAAAACAAAACAAAAAGGTGAAAAAGGGAAAATACATATTTCTTCCCCCTAGTTAAAACTAGCTAAAATAAAATTTAAGGCAACTGAAATATGGTAAGGTGATTTTATTTTTCTGTAGATGATGTTTCTTAGAAAATCAGTTCTCTAAATATGATTCTAATTTTAGTATATGTGCTGCTGAAGCGAGCACTAAGTGTGTGATTCTAATCTACTCAAGTTGTTCTCTTATTCTTGGTTGGTTCCAGAAAATGGAGGACAGCATCATTTATATTGTGGCTTAGCCTTAATGGACCCGAGTATATTTTCCTTGTAGCAGCTTTTCTAAGTTCACATGGTCTGGTTTGAAAATGTATTCAGGGTGGGGCAGGACTCTCTCTGCTGTTATTTCTGTATTATAGTATGGTTGAAGAGTGACTATAGTTCCTATAAGAATCTTGAGTGATCTCCCATTTCTTGCCTGCTGTAGGCTCTGTTCACTATCCAGCAGAGGGGCATTGTTTTTCCTTGTGAAAGCTCCCTGACTCTACTTCCAGTCTAACTCAGTTCTTTGAAAACATGAGTATCGCCCATAACCTTTTGAAGTTACTATCATTGTCCTACTTGGTGAAAAAGGCTTTGGTGAGCAGGATAGATAGAGGATGTGTGAAAAGATTTCTAAGACCTGTAGGGAAAGAATGACCTATAAAAAGATGTTAATAGTTGGCCTCCAAAGTTTCTGCTTGAGAACTGGCTTTTTTATTCCTCCTCCTCTCACTTATGATTCTAGCATCTGACCTGTACGAGACAAGAGCCTTGCATCCCTACTTATGGACTTCGACAGTCTATGTTACTGAGCACCAGGTTTCAGGACTGCTATGTGGACTCACCAACATCTGGGCAGCCAGAACATGTGCAAAGCAGAGCATCAATGCCTCAGCATCAAGTATGACTTCTTGGGAAGTTATAAAGAACCCATTAATTGCCAGCTCATCCTCTCTGGTTAAGCTGGTACTTAGACGACAACTGAAGGTTAAGTGCTGCCTAGTAACATGAAAGTTTGGAAAAGCAAAATCTGTAAAGAGGTTCAAGTCCAAGGACAGTTCAGCAATGACTGTTATCCCAGATGGATAACAAAGTCCATTGGTTCCAAGAGCATGTAGCCAGAGGGGCAGTGGCTGGGCTCACCAAGGTGCAGGAGGCAGGAACAAGGTAGATGGTGACTTCTGGTGGAGAAAATGTCATGGGGTGGGGAGAGAAAAATGCCAGCTAGATAACACTAACACTTAAAGCTTTTGAGATTTATATGAAGTAAAGGGTTTTTTTTTTTGAAGGTTTATTTATGCATGCAAGAACTGGGGTACAGGCCAGAGGTGTGAGGGGTGAGAGGACTCACCAGAGATGAAGTAGGGCGTAGAACAAGCAGATGTACTGAAATACACTGATGAGGGGAGCAGCAGGTGAGACAGGAGAGGCCTACTGTGCCATGTGGGTCAGCTCCCTGACTGGGGATCAAACTCTTGCTGCAGTGGCTTCTGACAGATTCATAGTGCTGTGCCTTAACCCACTGTACCACCAGGGAGGGCCAGAGTGAAGGAAATTTTAAAGTTAAAGATAGGGCTGTAGGAAGTGGGGAGGTGGGAGCTGCAGCATGAGAGAACACAGACAGACCTAGGGTCATGCAAAGGGCTTTTGAATAGAACCTTATATAGAGTAAATGCTGAGGCACCCATGTGGCATCAGTAGATGACCATTGTGGTTATTCATCTTCTAGTCAGGTGAACTTGGGCAAACCACTTTCAATTTCCTATCCTTAAATCAGTCTCCTGCTGACCTGATGGGGGTATGGGGAGCTCAGTTATACATGAAGGAATTCAGTCAACTAGAACATGCTAGACAAATGTTAGTTGTTGTTGTAACCAAGACTCTAGAACACAAATCCTAGATAATCATTTCAAGCTCCCTTCTCAAGTTTTAGCTTTGACTTCTCTGCTTTCTTCCTGGCTAGAGTAAAGAAAGTTCAAAGGAGAAAAAAGTAATAGTCCGCCAAGATCTTAAGAACAGATATGCTGAACCTGTGGCTGCCACCCAAGTGCCACCCCGGGACACTGGGACAGCAGCCTGCAAGGGCCTAGCACTGCTTCCTGAAACCAGAAAGATACAGTTGTCAGATACACTAAGCATCCATGGCCTCCCCACAGATGGTTACCAGGCTCTGTACCACACTGTGGTTGAGCCGATGCTGTGGAATCCTTCAGGAAACCCTAAAAGGTACAGTTTGGAGCTGGGCAAGACTGTTAAACAAAAGCTCTGGGAGGCTCTATACAGCCAGGCTGCTTCTCCTGAAGATGCTCCAAAGCACCTGTTAGCAGGTAAGAAGAGGCCCATGAGGAGCCTGTACTCAAGAAAGGGCCCAAGTTACAGAGCAAGAAATAGAACAGGAACTCACAACATTAGGATATCCTCTGCTGGATGGTGAGAAATAAACACCACTTTTAACCTTTCACAAATTATTAACTACCTTCCTAAGGAAACAAAACTGATGGCTTACAGATTCTCCAGAGACTGAGTACCTTTACCCCGTGATTAGGTCTTTTCCAGGACTAGATGCTTGGAGCTTTCCCCCTAGAAGACCCTTTTAGTCACAGGTCTAAGGTCCTCTCTATTTTCCAGGTAGGAAAAGGCTGGCAGATGAAGTCAAGTTTATATTCAGCCTATGCTCCCTGTTTCTAAAAAGCCAACAGCTAGATTCCCAAAGGACAACTCCCCTCTTTCCTTCCATCTAGGACTGAGTAGAAAAACTACCACTGCCTCAGGGATAAAACCCCTCACACTATTTACTGCTACCCCATGGCACACCTAAAGCCCCCATAACCTGAACTCTATGTTAACAGGTGAGGAAATTATAGGGATGTTTCCATGAGTGGGCTGAAGTAGAAGATTCTGCCTTTATGAAGACCTCTGCTTTGTGCAACCTTTAGACCTTTACCAAACAGAGCAATGACAACATATAACACATACTTGATAAAATTGTATTTTTTTTACAGTCATTTGTACAGTTTGTTACAAAACCATAGAAGACTACAACTTGTTTTAAATCATTTTTGGTCAGCAAATACGTAAAATCTGTGTGCAATTATCATGTATTTACAGGGCCTCATGTTAGTCATTTTCAATGATTATTCCAACAATGTCACACTCTCAACATAAGACATGGCTTAAGATAAATATATTAGTAAATAAATATTCTGAGAACATATTTCCATAAATGAAATGTGCTGCTATACATATACAGAATATACATAAGTTGTTTTCTAGCCTTTAAAACATTTTTAAAAAATGGTAATGTTGGTGAAGGAGCCCTTAGATTATTTTATTACAAAATCTTTACAGCAAAGTTTTTACAAAATATCTTTTAAGTGCTATGGGAGAAAATCTTAGAAAACATTTTAAAATAGTGCCTTGTTAGACCAACACAATAGTTTACATAAAGAATAGAAAAAGGCAGTTCTGTTTAGAAAATAATACTCTTGTTTAGTAATTATTTTTTCAACCTCATTTTAAAAGCATTAGTCCCGTGTGAACTTTGAGTAGAAACTAGCAGCACATAAGGGAGGGTCTGAATAGAGGGACAGCAGACAGGGCTTTATAAAATGGCTGGGCTTCAGAGGAGAGGGCTAAAGGAGTTAAAGCCTGCTCATCATGTCTACAAAGAGGTACCTTGTTGATCAGCACTCCCAACTCCCCATTTTTCGACTAGTTCTAGCACTCTTCAGGTGACATGGATGTTCAACACCCAGGGCTGGGCCACAAGACCACGCCTAACTCACACTCTGATGTGGAGGGTGGTTCTCAATAGAAGATGAGATGCTCCTGGTTTCTTTAACTATAGAATCCCCACACCACTAAGAGGCCACCAAAAAGGTACTAATCATTATTGGAGTCACATCTTCAAAAACATTTCTCGACAGCATGGTGAGGCAATAATAGAACTGGTTACTATATTTTGGTTTCCCTCCTTCCCCCAATCTGATGAGCAAATACAAATTTTAAGACAATGGCTGTTAATTAAAAAAATTTAATTTCGTTTTTGTTTCTACCATCTTACACACTACAAAAATTAAATGTGCTTTTGTAACCCTCAGTGATTGCTCTTTCAGATGAAAATTGGACACATTTATTTTTATAAGCCAAGTTGAAGCCACATTCTCTATTGCTTAAGGCTAGTAAGGTTGGTTTTCCCTTCCAGGGCTAAAGAAAGCCACTGTAGGGGTATGGTTTCAGACAAGGAATATGAACTCAAAGGCATTAACAAACAAAAAATAAAACAAAAACCCCACAAACAAAAAATAATCTCAACAATGAGAAGCTCCTTTTTGTAGTTCATGTTAAAAGCCAGACCCTACCCCCACTTCCCTAAAGCCACGTAATACAAGCTGTTGTCCTCAGCAGCTGCTACTCCTGGCCCAAGAAATAAAGGCGGCCCAGATCACATGTCAACAGCTTAGGCGCTTCTCACACCCTCGCCAACAGGTGTGCTGGGCATTGGCCGAAGGGGAGCAGCCCACGGGGACAGCACCTCAGAGGACATGCTCCCTATGCCGAGTTCTAAAACAGCAAATGGCTCAATTATTTGATGCAGGAATTTCTGTCAAATGCTGGTTAGGAGTAAGTAAATTCTCTCATCTTAGACTGGATTTTTGATTAAAAAAAAAAAAAAAAAGGTTCTGGTGAAATTCTTTCAAGACCTGGGCTGATTCCTCCGATCCTTATTAGAGAGCTGTCATCACAGTTGCCTGGGCACCTGACAACCCAGGGTGTTCCTGAATTTCCCACCTACTGGGGCCAGGCTGCAAAGTTCCTATTCTGCAAGTGAGCATTTCAGATGGCAACAAATATCTGCTGGAATAAATGAATAAATAAAAGTGACCTGAAGAGTTAGTGAATGCAAGCGCTAATGTGATTAATGTCTTCTAAAAAATTTTTTTTAAGAACAAGAAATGTATCAGACAAAAAGGATGCAATCCCTGATCTGGAGTAGCTTTAAATAGATTCTTTCTCCTTTAAAACATTGAAATATCTTCTTTTAAAAAATGGTTTGCGTTTTTTAAATTTCTCACCTAAGGGGTGGGGAAAACACTGGAAAAATATACAAAAACCTACCCTATGGGTCTAAACTATCTGATAGTCTCTTTCTCTTTGTCTCATGGAGAATCAATAATAGTGCATTAGGTAGAAAGGATAGTAGACATTTGCAGGTGAGATGAGCCATTTTAGCAAGGAGGCGGAGGGCTGAGTAGCCCTTGGCTGTATTTCCTTTGGGAAGTGAATGGGAAACATAGCAAATTCAAAGGGAGCTTGGAGCAGATCCAGGGTGGTCACAGCCATATGTCCCAGGAAGGCAGCCCAAGACCCACAGAAACATGTGTGCATAAGCAAGTTCTGCCCACTATGTCTCTGCTCTGGATTAACAAGAGCACTCTCCCTCAGTCCTATCAGACACAAAGGCGGCAAAAACTACATTCCTCTTGGGTGGACAAATGCTCTGTGGAACTATTTCTGAAGTCACTGAAAGAAGCCCAAGGCCAAGGCTGAGAACCCCATCCTTTTACTTAGGACAGTGACCCGAGGGGACAGATTGAGGATGCTGGGCAGAATCATCCCTGTCACCCTGCTGTTTATGTAGCCGTGGCTTTTTCAGGCTCCTCACTGTCCTACTCTTAGATGTTTTTCTTCAGCTGCCTAAAGGTGTGGACTGGAGAGGCTTGATTTCTGACAAGGCCTGAAATTTTGTTACACTGGGATTTGCTATGAGAAAGAAAGAGGCAGCATTGCATTGTTCCTCAAGAGTTTGTACCCATATCAACTAGCTTTACTTCAAGTTTCTGGTTCATTTTCTAAGGCAGGTGTAGCCCTGAGCTTTTCGAAGGCCTGAGCTCCCTCCTGGGAGACAACAGTATCTACACATGATGTGGTTCAATTAATGCAGCAGTGATTTTTTTTTTCAGCAAAAGTTGGCAGTTAGGGTTCTTTAAAATATATATTTAAATAACTTTTTACATTTACATATAACATTTTAAAAAACAAAGCAGAGAACTCAATCCCACACACCTTGGAACCCCAAGCACACAAACATACAAAACAGAAGAACAACATGTTATCAAAAGAGGCAAAAGACTCAGAGAATTTTGTCTGTTGGTTTGTTAATGGGATGGGGGTGGTTTTGCCACAAGTGGCTCACATTTTGGGTTGAAAAGGAGGGCTCTCTTTATTACCACTTTTGTGTTTATCAAAGCTAAAAAGATTTTTTGTTTTCTGAAGGAAGTCAGAGTTTGGAGTCACCGTACAGTTCCCAATTCCACATAAGAGTTCCTTCTGAGCTCAGGCTCCCGGGCCACCGTCAGCTGGGCTAGATTTCTGTCCTGGGAGAGAAAGAACAATTATCAGGGGACGCAGCTGGCACTGCAGGCTTCGGGCACAACCTGCAGGGACGAGGCAAGGGAAGTGGGTGCCCATTTCTGGTGTGTGACAGGCTCTCAGGAAGCGACAGTTCACAACGGATGGACTGTATACATAGGGTGGTAAGAATCCTTTTTTGAGAGTTTCTGGTTCTGCACTGAGAGCACAGGTGCTGCCTAGTGAGTCAGCCTCATCTGTGAGGTTAGAACCTTCTGGAGGGTAGCATGAAAATAGTCTGTAGAAAAGATGTATGTAAGGCACTACTGCAGGCACTGGGAAGAGTCGGGGTCTTCAAGACCCCCTTACAGTTTCCAGATAAAGTAATTTCAGGAGACAGTAATTTCAGACTGTGATAACATGAGAAGTCCAAAGAGGGTGCGAGTGACTCTGGGGGGGCCTGGAGGGCACCACTCGACTGAGCTGGAGGAGAGCAGCAGCAGAGTTCTGCAAGTTGGAACGAGCTTGACATATTGGAGGACTAGATGGAGGTCCCAGGGAGCTAATGTAACAAGGAGAGCAAAGGAAGAGGTGTTCAGGCAGGTGTAACCCTTGAAAGGCCAGTTCACAGAGAACAGGGTGAGTTCACATTTTTTAGATTCTAAAGGAAACGGCAAGTCGTCTGAGGGTTTTCTAGTGTAAAGGCATAGACTTATGTTTCAGAAGAGGCTGCTGTGGTCTTCATACAGAACTGAAGGTGAGACCAGTCAGAAGGCTACTCTCCTCTCCTGGAGAGAGAAAATGTGTCTGAGGACAGTAGCTGGAAAGGCAAAGTTGGTGATTTTGGACATACTTTGGAGGTAGCCTTTGTCACAGTGCTACTAAGAAGTGCTGTACTGCATACATTTATTTCTGAGCCAAATGTGTAGAAAACTTATAGCAATTTGACGATGTGTGCTGAATCTAGTAACAAAAATTCTGGGCTTATATTTTGTGTATCTTTTGCTAAGTTTCATTTTTCTGGAAATTTACTGTTGGGGGGGAGTAGGGGGGAACGGGGACACAAGTACCTGTGGTCTTCACAAATAGTTTGAAAAGCCCTGGACACTGTGTGAGGGGAGGGGCAGACACAGGGATGTTATCTGGGCTTTGGGCCTGAGCATCTGAGCGGGAAGCCTTGGAAAAGGGTACAGAGGGCTGAACATGAGAGTGGAACTGAGGACATGAAAGGCTGGGATATTTATGAGGTAGGGGTGGGGGAGAGGGTGGGAGGAGGAGGCAGTGTGTTGTAGAATCCTAGAAGTAGTAGGCCCAGTTGGTATGGAACTCAGAGGCAGGGCCAGGTAAGGTATACATGGAAGCCATCAGGTAAGTGTTTAAGCCAAGAGCACAAAGGAAGTCACTTAGAAAGTAACTGTGAAGAGAGAAGAGGTCTTAGTGGGAACATCTGCTCTGCCTACTGTCATCTCCTGCTCTCACCTGTAGCCTCAGCAGCCATGGCACTGGACTCCTGAGTGTCTTGGAGGGCACTGGGAAAGCTGGCCCTGGCAGTCCCTGTCTCCTCCGGAAGGCAGCCAGAGGCCAGTGGGGCCCTGACTGGGCAACACAGAACCTGCTCTTCTTCCTGGGATGCTCCCAGGCCCCTGTGGGGCCGAAGGGCCTCTATGCCCAATGTCCCACCCCAGTGGCCAATGTTGTGGGTCCCTTGGCAGTCGGAGGGTAGGCCTAAGTCATAGTCCACATCCTCCGGAATGATGGGGATGCGCTGGCTCAGGTCCCGGGCCCCTGGGTGGCAGCTGGGCGGATGCTCCTGGGTGAGTGTGTACTGCACGCTCACTGACAGGTCCTCAGTGTAGCAGCCACTGCCGCCTCCACCAGTGTGGGCCACCTGCTTCTCTTCATAGAAGCAGCAGGGCAGGCCCTCATATTTCACCCCATCTGTCCTGGGCAAATGGTCTGGGTGAAGGCTATACAGGCCCTGGGAGCTTCCAGACTGTGATTCCCCACCTGCGGGGCCACAGCCCTCACAGAGGGGGGTGCCCAGGAACAAGGTGCTGCCCCCAGCTGCTCCTCTGCCAGGCTCCAGTGCAGATGGCTGGGGCTCACAATAGCAGGCACATGATGACCCCTCACGGCCCCCCTTCCAGGTCCTCCTGAGGTCTGGGATGGTCCCAGGAGAAGCCTCGAGCCCCACTTCTGAGGTAGAGCTATTGGGCCCCCTGTGCTCCAGGGAAGAGTTGCTGCTATAGTTCATTTCCAGGCTGCAGGTGGACAACTGGTCCCCAGAGGGAGAGGCAGGGCCAGGCCAAGGCTCTCCCCGCCCAGCACCTTGACTGTGGATTGCCAGGAACTCCTCAGGTGGTGGGGAGCCCTCTAGGTGCATGATAGGTCCCCGGTTTGAGCTACTGGAGCCCCCCATGTCACTAGCACGGCAAGGACTCCGGCTGCGGTAGATGAAAGGATCATAGTCGCTGCTGAGGGAGCTGCGGAAGGTAGAGCAACTCCCATAAACGCCCTGGTTGCTGACCTCAGTGCAGTCCACCACAGAGTCACTGGAAGAGCAGTGACACTGGCCAGAGCTGCTGCTGCTGCTGCTGTCACTGCCTGGGCAGTCAGCCAGGTAGCCGCTACACACAGAGCGATGACCATGGTAGCAGCTGAAGCTGGATGTGCTACCACTCTCCAGGTGGGAGGGTGGGGCCACGTGCACCATGGTGGGGAAGAGCAGGCTGCCATTGCCACTTGGGGGAAAGGCACGGGACTGGCCCCTGGGAGCAAGGCTGGGTGGGGCTGGACTTTCCTGCTCGGGATAGCTGAGGCCCTGGAAGTAGTAGTGTTGGTACATGGTCTCATACTGGGAGAAGCAAGCTGCCTTGGAGAAGTTACGGCCACTGAACTTGGGCCTGCGGAAGGGGTGGGCCGGTGAGTAGGCCCGGTGCTCCAGACCACAGCGGTGAGGGGCCAAGGCGTGGTCCAGGTGAAGGGGTGGGTAGCCGCGGATGTACGCGGGGGTCTGAGGCGAATAGAGGCTCTGCTCCCCATGGCGGTCCACAGTCAGCAGTGTGACAGGGTTCCCATGAGAGTCCATGCTTGTCCTCGTCGGGTAGGCTGGGATGGCATTGGTCCTGTGCACGCGGCCGGGATAGTGTACCGGCAAAATAACTCTCTGTTGCCGGCCACGCGCCAGGTTGCTGGTCTCCACACAAACGGCACCTGGGTTTCCCTTTTGCTCTAGGGAGAGGAGGGACACAGTAAGCAGAAGTGAGCAGGCCAGTGCTAGGAGCTAGAGGAATAAGGGGAAAAACTAAGGCAACAGTCTGGGTCAATGTCAAGGTACTCAGTCTTAGGACCCTGGCCATTCTATTCCATCACCCAACTCAGCTGTGTTGGTAGAAGCTGAGCTACTTTGTTTGGCAGCTGGTTACTCCTGCAAAGGCCCTTCTCCTTTCCTCTCTGCCTGTCAAAGGCACCTTTGGGAGTTTACAGAGAGCAACTCAGACACCCAGATGAAGGTGTTTTTCTTCTCAGAGAAACAATTATTTGGAGTGTACCCCTCCATCTCCTTCCCTCACCTGCAATGCAGGACCAATGTGACAACCTGGCCACCTCACTCCCATCGTCTCTTGGAGTCCTGAGAATAACAACCTTAGGGGACTGGGGATGGACAAGCACCGTCACTGTCACTTTCACGAAAAAGATTGGCTTTACGGGACCAAATGCTTTGTCTAAGGTTAGGAGCTTTGCTCATGTGAAAATTAAAGCTTGAACTCAGGGCAATTCAGAGTTTGGAGGCATGAGGAACCCCAAAACTCAAGGCCTCCATTCCTCCTAGTCCAGGGAGGAATTCTTGGGAGGTTTTGCTAGCTTACCAGCTTGCAGCTGTCACATTCTTGTAATGACATTTGGGAGGGAAAGTGACTCTTCAGTAATGACTGAGGTAGGTGACAATTACCTATGATGTTGTGGCGACAGTGGGGGCAGGTGTGGTGCTGTAGAAGCCAAGGATCCACACATTTCCTGTGAAAGCGGTGAGTACAGGGGATAACTCGAAGTTCCTGGGGAGGGAGAGGACATACAGCCTGAAGTAATGGCACAGTGGAACGCAGTTCTGCCTTGAGCCCTGCATATGCTTCTTCCTTCAGAAAGCAGTATGACCTGAGGAGCTGTGCTCACCAATGTCTAGAAGCTCCCTTCCCACCTTCCTCCTCAATTCTGTTTATGGGTGAGCTAAAGGACCCATCAACCTGCCCTACCACAGGCCTCAGTGTTAGGGAGGAAGCACAGAAGAGACCCCTTTCTTGTCACTGGAGGGCACTCACATTCATGTCTCACAGAGGGGAAGCCTTGTGCTAGGGTGGATGGACAGCCTGGGGGAGTGGAGAGAGAGCTAGGTATACCCTATGATAGCTCTGGGTGCCCCAAATGAGGATGAGAAGAAAAATGCTCAGAGAACTGATTGACAGCAGGACAGCAAAGGGGCAAAATTCAATTGTCTTTTCCTTCACTGGCCCTGAACCTCATGCCAGGGGCACAGAGGTTTATAATCCAACAACCTATGTGGAGAGGAGGTAGCGGAGTTCTCTTTTGGAGGTAAAGTACTTCTACAGTTCCTGAGTACAAGTACTCTCCAAATTTATTAATTTTGCTGCTTTTCCATTCTATAACCAGTTACAGAATTAGGTGAATGCTATTCAAACTAAGTGTAGACACCAAGAATGATCAAGTCGCTTTCCCAAGATCAAAAGCTAGAACCTGACTGGGCCAGGGTTAGGACCAGGCCGTCTGCACCAGTTATACTGTGCATAAATGGTACTTTAAAGACCTCCACAAAAACTTGTTTTTCACCTAGCAGTCTACATAGCAGTGAGGCATATTCACCAAAATTATCATCATATGTCTGCAACTAAATCTGAATTTGGGGCAACACAATTGCCCAAATTGTGTGTGTACACAGGTTTATATCTAGAAAGAGATTATGTCCTCTAGCTGTTACAAAGCTGTGGGAAAAGGACATGGTCCCTGTCCTCCTATGTCCTGGGCACCTCTGCTGACATGTGCATCATGTCACTCAGATGGGCTCTGCTGTTACCTCTCCGTCGATGTACTTCTCCAGGCAGATGGCACAATCGGATGTAGAGCTGCTACTGAGAGTGTCCAGGGCTCCACAGCTCCCTTCTCGGTGCCCCTTGCTCTTGGAGTTGAACTTTCTGGTTTCCATCTTCTCTAGCGCCTGCACGGCCAGTCTGTTCATGGAATTCTGTGTGCAGAATGTGGTGTCTGTTAGGGTCTAGGATGTATCAACAGTGGTGGTTACCCCAGGGCCCTGGCACTTGATGCACCTGCCTAGATAAACATTAGTCTCCGTGCAGGTCAGAACAGACTTTATTAGTGGTGGCACTCAAGCCCTGTGAGAATTTGATGCTTCTCCTCTCAACAGATTTCTTGCCACGGCCCACCATTTTCTCTCCAGACCACGTCTGCCACACATTTTAGCATCTAGATTCCTGCTTATTCCCTCACCATGATCCACACACAAATCCTTTATTCTTATAAGCTTAAAGTGGGGTACGAGAGTGGTAACTCTGTTAATGGAAAACTATCGGGAGAGTTTAGCAGATTTGGATTCAGCAGGTGTGGGGTGAAGTCTGAAAACTGCATTTTCTTCAAGCTCCCACGTGATGCTGATATTGCTGGTCTCCAGATTGGATCTTATTTGAGGAGACAACGTTCTAGGTCTGTCCATATAACATTGGGTAGGGATTCCTAGTTAGAAACATGTCTAATGCTCCGCTTTATAGGACTGGCCCTTTTTGAACACAGAAGGCACAGTTCTGTAAGCTTTGCTCTTCTTTACTAATTCTAGACCACTGGAACAAGCCACAGAGCTCAGGCCCCATCCCTGGTTTTCACCAACAAAAAGGCAAAGTGGATCACTGTTTGCAGGCTGCTCTGATATATTACCTGACTGCGTCGTTGCTTCAGCTTGATTTTGACAAGGAGGATGAGGCACACCAAGGAGACCACGACAAAGAAAGCCAGGAAAATCCCCATGTCAAAGTATTCAGTGGGTTGCTGGAACAGAACACAGACACAGTGGCTCCTCAGCCTAGGGATCAGCACAAGAACTGTAGGGGCCCTGGGTGGAATAAGGATGGGGCAACAGGGGCGCGTTTTCCCTGGTTTGCAAGAAACTCTTGGGGTTCTACTAACATACACACTGGTGTGCTATCTAGGTCCAGCTGATCTTGTGGTATGGACTTGGGAAGGTCTGCAGCAGGATCAGCCACACTTTCTAGCAGCCAAGAGAATCTTCAGAAAGCCTAGTTCCCTGAGGAATAGCGCAAAGTTCGCTATAGTGGGTAGGAGAGGCCCTTCCAAATAAACACAAATATCACATTTATGGGACAAAGGAGTGCGTGTCATGTTTTGAGGGAACAGTGATTACAAACCATATAATTAACCGTTTACAACAACTCAGAAAATTGTATGCTGCTTCCCCAAATATCAGCTTCTACTACAATGAGTCATATTTACCAAAGTGCTCTTTTTTCCTTTAAAAAGAAGCCAGTAAGTCAATTCTGCAGACTCCCTCTAGTTTTAGTTCTTACCTTTCTCCTCACAGCACATTGCCTCCAAATATCCTGAAACCACCTCATCTAGGATGTGTATTTGGCCAATAGGTACAGAGCTTCGCTAATTGCATAATGTAGGTATCCAAATATTTTATGCAAGCAAAAAAAAGATCATTCTATATATGAACATTCCAATATTTGTGGGGAAGAAATAAACCATAAATGGATCCCCAGCATTTGTGAACTGAGGTTTGGGCAGAAGATACCAGACAAGAGTTAATGGCTACTGGTGTCTCTTTGACATTAACGAGAAGCCTCAAAACTATTCACTAACTACCTGGAAGTCATTAAATTCAATCCTAGCCCAATGCTAACTTTTCCAGACTCAAATATTAAGTTAGAGGGTTTCCATACCTATTAACCTTTGGGAAAAACAGGAGTACAGATATTTTTTTCTAGTCTAGGTCAAACAGGAAGCTATGTACTAGATATTCCTTCCCTTTCATTCTCCTCAGCCTTCAGAAGGAGATAGGACAGAAGAGAATGAAGGAAAAGAGATTACCGAGAGGGGGTGCAGGATGAAAGAGACCAGAGATATCTCAGCACAAGTCATGTATTTCTGGTAGGTTTTTTCAAATCCTCTTCAAAGGAACAGAGGTAAAATTTCTCCCTGGTCTCCAGCCTCATTTCTGGTCTAAATCTGCAGGAACTTGGGATGCACTGGCATTTTAGATAACACAGGAACAAAAAAGCCCAAAGCCTAAAGGAAATAAAAGCACGGTTGCAGAGAAGGAGCCAACTGTGCTAGAATGAGCATAAGCTTACTCGGGGAGGACGGTGCTGAATCCTTGCTCGAGCCACTTTCTGCTTGTTGACGATATTCATCAGTTTGATGGCATCTGCGCCCTTCACATATACCACTGGCCTTTTGAGTGGGTCTTCTGAACCTTGGTTTAGCTAAGGAAGAAGAGACAATCTGGTTATAAGACCAGCATACTATAAGAAGCAGGACAGAAAATGAAAGGCTGGAAGCAAAGAATATCAAATACCTGCTTGGAAATTCTCAAACTCCTTGAGGTCCCAGAAGGGTAAAACTCAGGAAGATAGTTGTTTTAGGATGGACTGGGTTTAAGGCTGAAGGTCGAGAAGGGTCTTTGAAAATGTCTCCCTGACTTCCCAACCCCCTCTCATATATTTGCCTTCAAGTGTGATGTCCACACATGGACATCTAATGTCAGTCAAGTGCAGAGGTCCTAGATGACATGACTGTGACAAGCCAAGCTAACTAAATGAAGCAACTCTCCCAGAGAGCCCTGGTGTGGCCAGAGTTTACCTGGTCGATAGCTTCTGGGTTTTCAGATACATCAAAGATGACTGCGGTGGCTCCCCGCTGCACTGCTCGCTTGGCCTGGCAGAATGAAAAAGAACAAGTTGGCAATCTCACCCTCTTACCTGTCCAAAGCTAGCTTTGGAAATCAGACATGTATTTGAAATGCAGACTCTGACAATTACCAACTTATATGATTTTGGACAAGTCATGTAACTTTCCTAAGCTTCAATGGTTCCCAAACCTGTGAAAAAGCCAGAGATGCCACTTACCCTGTTATGGTTACCCTAATACCATGTGACTTAGAATAGTGAAAATAATTAGCTGGATACTCAATTAACCTTTGTTTTCCTATCCAGTCTAAACTTTAAAAACAAACTATAATTCAACAACCTGCCCAGTCAGCATAGAGGTATTGGTTTCAGTATTTTCTGTTATGAACACAGAACCACTGGCAAGCAAAGCAAATGCCTTTGGTCCTTCTCTTGTGGTCCTTCTTCCTTCCCATGTCACCCTGCACCACATTTAGAATGGCATAGTGAATATTTCTGAAGGAATCTCCAAATGGTCAATTTTAATAACTAACAGGCTGAAGACCTTTGGAGTAGCCGTCAGAGGGAAAAGCTTTAAGAAAGAATTGTAAATGGGGATTTAGAGCAGTTGGCTGACAAACCTGGCTGCACATCAAAAACCACTTTGGAAGTTTGTAAAGCAGATTTCCTGGCTCAAACCACAGAGACTGATTCAGCAGGGTTGGAGTAAGGCCTAGGAAACTGAGTTCTGAGTTTGCAAAGGAATTCTGATGATTCAACCACTTGGAGAACTATTGATCACAGAGATGAGATTAGAATGTTTTGGGAACAAATAAAGAGACAGAATTCTTTTGGGGGAGAAAGAACTCCTTTCTCGCCCAATGAATCATGAAATTTTATGTTCACCTAAGTGGACAACAAGGTAGAAGCTGTGGAAGAACAAGACATATGCTTTCTTTTAGGAGCCTGAATCTTGTTAGGGAAATAAGAGAATCCTCTGAGAAGGCAAAACAACTAAAACACAAAAACCAAACCTCCTAAGTTTGACAAGGCAAATGATAGTACTCAGAGTTCAAGAGCATCTTGATGGGCAAGAATGCCTGAGAGTGAATAAAATCTAATTCCTTCCTTAACGACAGTCAACTACACGGATGCAGTGTTAAGGCAGAAACACTGAAATTTAAGTAGGAGAAAAAGTGGCCAAACCAATGGCTCCACAGCCCACTAGAGGGCAGTCTTATCACACAGCTTTTACAAGACCATTTCCTGTACTTTGTGTCAAACAATCCTCAGGGATACTGTGATCTGGACAACCCAACAAATCCTGGCATCCTGGATGCCTGGCTACACAAGTTGCCATTGTTCTGCCTGGGATTCTTTGTTGTTCAACTGTGAGTCAACGTACTTAAAGTCTCTTCTGCTGACTGTCCCTACCATCATGCCCTTTCATCACTACCTGCTAAACATTGCTGATGATGAAGAAGTCACTCAACCTCTTTAAGCTTGTTTCTCCACCTGTACAAGGAAGAAGCCTCTGTCATTATAACTCAGGTTCCTTCAGTTCTTAGTTCTGGCTAGTCCAGCAGTGGCAAGAGACTGTAGAGCAATGTAGGACATTATAATGGCCCTCTGACATCTCCAGCAAGAGGACTTGATGGCACAGTGAAGTCAGTTGGTACCACTCCCCCCTCAAAACTCTCTAGATGCACAGATTCCTTTTCCCAAAGCTAATAGCTGGTGGATCCCAGAGTTATCAGGAAGGAGGTGCTTGTATCTTCTACTTAGGTAAATTTCCCAGTCTTTTCCACAAATTCTTTTCCTAGACATAGAAAAGGCCTAAGGCACAGCACTGAAAGCAAGGTAATAAACAGTACCTCTTTCCTTTATTTGGCATTCTTTCCACAACCAAGTTCATCAAACAGCAGTTGAGGGTGCTGTGCATTCAGAACAGTGTTGTTGGGGATCACTGAGTACCTCCCATTTTTTTTTTTTAAAGATTTTTATTTATTTATTTGTACAGAACTGGGGTACAGGCCAGAGATGCGGAGGGTGAGAGAATTCACCAGAGACAGAGCGGGGAGCAGAACAGGCAGATCGACAAAGTACACTGCTGAGGGGAGCAGCGGGCGGGTCAGGAGAGGTCTGCCACGCCATGTGGTCGCCTCCGGGGCAGGCGGGAATCGAACTCATGAGGAAGTGGCTTTAGATTCTCAGTGCTGTGCTTTAACCCGCTGCGCCACCAGGGAGGGCCCGTACCTCCCATTTTGATACTGGTGCACCTACAAAGTCTAACAGTCATAGGAGAAGATACTACAGGATCAGGGGTAGTGCTGTGCCTTTAGCTGCATGGTCTTTTGTGTTTTCAGGCTTCCCTGCATCACATGAAGTCTTGAGGATTTGGAGATGAGGCATGACTCAATTGGGACAGGCACAAAAGATACTTTTTATTTATGCATACAAGAACTGGGGTATAGGCCAGAGTTGCAGGGTGTGAGAAGATTCACCAGAGACAGAGTGGGGAGCAGACCAGGCAGACCTACTGAAATACACCGATGAGGGGAGCAGCAGGTGAGACAAGGCCAGGGATCAAATTCATGCTGCAGTGGCTGCTGACAGCTTCATAATGTTGCTTTTCAACCCTCTAGTGCCACCAGAGAGGGCCCACAAAAGACATTTTTATAAAAATCTAGGTGGTGAGCCCTTCCTGGTGGTGCAATGAGTTAAAGCACAGCACTATGAAGCTGGCTGCAGCCACTGCAGCATGGGTTCGATCCCCAGCCAGGGAGATGATCTACATGGTATAGCAGACCTCTACTGCCCTGCCCGCTGCTCCCCTCAGCAGTATACAGTGGACCTGCCTATTCTTCTCCCCACTCTGTCTCTGGTGAATCCTCTTACCCCTCACACTTCTGGCCTATATCCCCAGTTCTTGTATGCATAAATAAAAAAATCTTTAAAAAAAAAAAATCTAGGACGATTGAGCAGTTTTCTGGTGAATAGAGCTCGGCTGAAAATAAGGTATTTAAATCTTGCTTACAATTTGACTTCAGACACAGCCAACCAGGCTAATGTAGAGAACCCAAGTACAAATATTTTGCTGAAGAAAATGCTAATTCTCATAGTTGATTTACTTTAATAATAATTGTTTGATGTTAAGTTGCTATTAAAATGAGGTTGTATTTCCCTGTACGTACAAGAATTGGATAGGAGGGAATTAACCTAGGATCCTGCTGGGAACTAACCTCTTACAGAGTCTGTTTAGGATTAAAATAGGACATATATAGTCCATAGTTAGAAAATAAGACCTTTATTATACCATTTTCAAAGCAAATTAAAAAAACATACAGAATACTACTCGATGACACTTATCCCCTTGCTCCACATTTTCTGTTTAAACTTTGATGAGACATATTTCTTGGACTAATTTCCATATATCATTTATCATTTTACTTTGGGCCAGCATTTTAAGCAAATCTAAACCATAAGTTGGGAAATTACTAGTCCTATGGTCACTAGAAATGCCATCTTTACAAAGTCACACAACTCGTTTCCAAGGCTGTTTCAAAGAAAGGAGGGAGAAGATGCAGCCTGGTGGATGTTGCTGTAGGAAGGCCACTGGTAGGGTACACTATGCAGTGCTGGAGAGGGCAGTTGCCTTGCAGCTGTGCATAGATTAGAGTGGAAAGATGTGCACGATAAGGGTGTGAGCAGCAAAAAGCAGCTTAAATGGCCCAACAACGTCTCCCAGCAAGCCAGTGTCCTTGGCTTCCAGACCTTTCCCCTCCACCCTACTACCATAGGTTATTTCACACCACACAGGTATTTTTACACCTTGCATTACTTTTGCCACTTCCTTCAGGCTAGGGCATCAGCCCTAGTTAGGTACCAGCCAGCAGGTAACCAGAAGCCCATCAGCAGAATGTGGAATATAAGTTTACTATGGTTCTTCTATTAACTGTCTTTCCAGGTCAAGATTAGACAATGTCCACAGTCACTGACATAAGAATCTAAAGTGCAAACATCTTTAAACTGACATTTTGCAAAGTACAAAATGTCAGCTCTTAAAAGACAGGGTCTCACTGTAGTGTACACTTACTGTACAGTGCAGTGCAAAACTCACTGTTATTCAATGCATGTTTATTTATTTATTTTTAAAGATTTATTTATTTATTCATACAGAACTGGGGTACAGGCCAGAGATGCGGAGGGTGAGAGGATTCACCAGAGGTAGAATGGGGAGCAGAACAGGCAAATCGTCGAAGTACACTGCTGAGGCGAGCAGTGGGCGGGTCAGGAGGGGTCTGCCACGCCATGTGGATCTCCTCTGGGGCAGGTGGGGATCAAACTCATGTGGAAGTGGCATGCTTTAACCTGCTGAGCCACCAGGGAGGGCCCTCAATGCACGTTTATTTTAAATGAAAGTCTTCTTGGGACCATACTCTCGGGTTACGGTTCCCTGAATGTGCATGTTATTGCCCCTTAAGGATGTGCTCCTATCTCTATGATTTGAGTTTAGAATTTCCAGATGTGAGTAGGGCATTCTGATGAGAATAGTCCTGTTACCACCTTACGGGTAGTAAGACTTAAAACCTAGAGTTTGTTTTGATTTTAATTAAATTCAGGGATTTCCATCAGGAAGGCATCTGGCACATTCCCTGCTACGTGCAGTCACACCCAGATTTGATCTGGGGCTTGGTTCTACTCTGACACCTACTCCCTGGGGCATAGATTCCTTCTGTTGCCTGTAGTTTATCTGTTCTTTTATTGATTATGTGGCATCCCCAGTGCCTAACCTTGATTGTAGGAAAGCTGACAGCTTAATTGGATATAACCCAAGTAATACCTAAAACGTCTCCCCCCCGCCCCCAAACTCCTGTCCATAGGATAATCAAGAAAGTTGGATTGTTAGTGCTGAAGTGTCTTCCACCTCTCACAGGAAGTTCTTAAAAGAGTGCTCAAAGTGGATTTTTTTTGGAAGCCTCTACTGAATACTTTTTTTTTAACCTTAGTGTAAACTTCCAAGTCATTAAAAATTCCTTGTAAGCATTT